TATATATATCTATATATATTATATATGAACCAATTGTTGTTCGTTGGTAATAGACCGCTAATTTCGCTAATGATGAGTTTTCTAGCCTGGCACGCAGATATATTCGGCCTTATTGCTCTCAGTTGGGTTGGGTTTTGCCATGATTCATCATTAAAAGTTGTCAGTTACGAGTTTAAATTTATTTATGCGTGCTCAACAACGTATAGGAAAAAATATAATAGGAGTAAAACGGAAATAATTTAAAGGAAAGATATTATATAGCTAAAGAATAGGAAAAGGATAAAAGACTGTTCATTCATCGATTGGCTTATGCGTGCCTAGGTGACTATGCACGCTCGCCCACCCTACCTTTTTACTATGATGTCCCGCAAAGAAATAATAATACACAGTTTTCCACAGTAAACCCATTCGCAGGGATCCTAACTTATTTTACCAACTCTTTTCTGAATCAAACTCTAAATTTGATTTAATTCATAAGGATATAGTGAAACCTTTTATTCTATAGAATTCCATTATTCTGTTATTATAAGAAATATGATGGCTATCGTATCATCTCAGAATATCACTTATCAGTTAACATATGTTTCTTATTCTAAACAAAGTTAGTTAGTTATCTTATAGGTAAGCCATGATAATTAATTGAAATTAGAAGGTTACAGCAAAAGGTATATGTAAGCGATTTTGGATGTAGAAATTTAAAAAATAAATTATATAAAACTGACAACTTACAATATTAATAAAAAAAACATCCCAGTGAAAGGAGTACCTAACTCTAATTAACTCCATAAAATCAAAAGCAGCAATATATATATATATATATATATATATATATATATATATATATTTTTTTTTTTTTTTTTTTTTTTTTTTAAGACAACTATTGCAATTACCGTTTGTTAGAACACATACCAAAGGTACATAATTAAAATCGTTAAAGCAGTGCTTCGAGGTCTGACTTTAACAGCCAGCCGATAGTTTATAGAGGAGCAATAACCGCTGTTATCTAGCATAAAACAACAGAAAATAAGATGGTACAAACACAAAAAGTGGGGTACATCCTTTAGAGGTTTCTTGCTCAAAGTAAAAAAAGCGTAATTTTGATTTATTTGGAAATAATTGTGATTTAAATTCAAGATATAAAAAAATATGGAAACAAAAAAAATGTATTGTCAGCAGCAATTCAGAGAGAGAAATATCCGCCTTTTGTGTTTGTGTAATGTAAGTATAAGAGTAGCGGGACTTACTTTGATTGGCGGAGCTCCAACGATGAAAGGCCTTTCAGGGGAGATGGTGAAGGTTACAGAAATCTCAGCATTTTTTTCTGACTCACTAACATATGTTGTTTTCCAATGAATTTGTTTCACTTTCGATGGCTCAATAACCCGTTTAACACAATATGAGAGATAGCAACACAAAAAAAAATCTAATGTCCGTCTTTGCTCACTTTATGATCTAAATTAGTGTTCAATGCAAATATATATATATATATATATATATATATATATATATATATATATATATATATATATATATATATATATATATATATATATATATATATATATATATATATATTTGCTTCGAATAGCTTTTTCTTTTTTTTAATGGTAGTTTCGCAATAATCCCGGTAGCTAATGACACCAACAACAGTGATTTCCAATCGATTTCACAACTGCACCTTCATTCGGTTTGGTTATTTAATGACAACTAAACCTTTACAATGGCGACAATCTCTTTCCTAAAAGGGACAACCGGTTTACCAAAGGAGGGTTGCAATATGGGGTACTAGGGAAAGACGAAACCTGAGAAGAGTGAAAGTGCATACACAAAAAAAAACTTTTTAGCACGGACATAATTTTTGCTCGTCTTACCAGTTAATATTTGTTTATTATCGATTATGGTAGTGTCCAAGATAATAATTTTTAATTCAAAGCAGAGAAGAAGTATATAAAATGGGTCTGCACAATTCGGTTCCCAAAAATTGATAGCCAAGAATGAACCAGGCTAAAAAATAAATTATTAGACAGATTCGGACATTCAATTCCTGCCACCAAAGAAATGTTATCCTTTTGTCAAGATCTGGCCGACAAAGCTAAATTACTTATGTAACAATTCCCAGAAAATTTTGCAGTCATACGTGTGGACGGTGGAAAGTTTGAATCAAAATGACTGGCATACTTTCAGATTATCACCTTTTGTAATCTCGTTCAAAGTTAAGGTCAAATGGCTGAATCACTAATACCAGCCCAGAATTCCAAGAATTAAGATGGCTTCTTTAATGGTATATAAGCCATAAATAATCAGTAATTTATTGGTATTGGTGATAAAAAGAAACCCAAAGAAAAAAAAAAAAACACAACCAATTCACCACTTCACCGGCGGGGAATTATGGCAAATTAACATTTCACCATAATTACATATACCAATACAAGAATCAACGAAAGTATTACAAGGTAAATTTCTCTACATCGCCAATAAAAAAATAGTAACAATCATAAAAAAATAAAACATAGAAATATATATATATATGTATATATATATATATATATATATATATATATATATACATACATATATATATATATATATATATATATATATATATATATACCTCCTACCCATATATATGTACCTCCCGATATTCAGTATTTTGATGATGTTAGCGACATTGTTCACCGAAATCGGTAAATACATATAAATATATATATATATATATATATATATATATATATATATATATATATATATATATATATATATATATATATATATATATATATATATATATATATATATATATATATATATATATATTTATATATATTTACCGATTTCGGTAAATAATATCGCTAACATCATCAAAATACTGAATATCGGGAGGTACAGTTATATGGGGGCCTATATGAAGACGTAGACCTACATGGCTCATTTTTTGACTTAGGGTGTAGTATTCATTACGAACTTCAAATGCCAAATTTGAAACAATTCCGGTGAATAATGTCGCTCAAATCATCAAAATACTGAATATAGGAGGTACAGTTATATGGGGGCTATATAATAACTTGGACCTACATGGCTCATTTACAAACTTAACCTGCCTACTGGAAAAATATACAAGTGTACAAAATTTTAGCCTTCTCTCTCAATTTGTTCGAAAGATAGCGTGATTACAACAGACATACAGACGGACATGGCTAAATCGTCTTAGAATTTTACGCTGATCAAGAATATATATACTTTGTTGGGTCTGACATGAGTATTTCGAGGAGTTACAAACGGAATGACAAAATTAATATACACTCCATAGTATGGTGGAGGGTATAAAAATAATTTTTGAGAGATGAAAGCCAAGGGCAAAGAAATTATTTTCTCGGAGAGAAAAATAATTATAAAATTATGGAGAGATGGAAAAAGCTTCCGAAAAATTGGCCAATCTATTGGAAGAACGTTTGCCTCCGTCCAAAGAGTAGTGACCAATTTTAAAGAAACCGGAATTTTAAACTCAAAGCCGCGGCCAGGGCGCCTAAAAAAATTGTCGGAACGGGAAGAGCGCAAAATTATAAACATGGCAAAGGCAAATCCTCGCATAACATCCACAAAGATTGTTAAAAATGTTAATTACGATTTTAAGAAAAGAATCTGTGCCGAAACTGCCAGGAAAATTTTACGCAAAGCCGGTTATCATGGTAGAGTCGCTCGAAGAAAGCCATATGTATCAAAAGTGAACAGACAGAAGTGCATTGAATTGGCTCATAGCTACAAAAATAAGCCTCCGGAATTCTGGATACAAGTAATTTTTCAGAGGAAAGCAAATTTTGCATTTTCGATATAAGAAGTCGTCAAAATGTGTGGCGCTAATCAGGAGCTGCGCTGGAGGATCGAAACATTGTTGGCACAGTCAAACACGGAGGTGGTGGGGTTACGGTGTGGGGTGCATGGCGGCTAGCGGTGTAGGTCGTCTCGAGTTTATTGAATCCACAATGGATAATTGGGGGTATTTGAATATCTTAAAGAATAATATAAAACAAAGTGCAGAGGAACTTGGTCTAGGTAGCACTCTTTGGTTCCAACAGGATAACGATCCGAAACATACTGCAGAGATCGTTAGACTGTGACTTCTGTACAATGCTCCAAGACAACTTAAAACACCTCCCCAATCACCATATTTCAATCCCACTGAACATCTATGGGATTTATTGGAGAAGAGGATTTGTCACCATGTAATAAGTAGCAAAGATGCTTTGCGAAATGTTATGAAGGAAGAATGGACGAAAATAACATTGGGGGAAACAGAGAAGTTGGCAAATTCAATGCCAAACAGACAAAGTGAGGTTTTGAAACAACGTGGATATCCAAGAAAATATTAAATTTATTTTGGTTTATAGTATCTTTTTTAAACTTAACGTATTTACATCTTGTGACCGTTATCTCAAAAGTATAGAGACGAATATAGTTGTTGAATATAGTTCTTGACGTCAAGGAAAACAGCAACATCAGCAAAAATGGTTCGAAAAGTAAAAACGCGATTTGATCGCTATATATATATATATATATATATATATATATATATATATATATATATATATATATATATATATATATATATATATATATATATATATATATATATAATATATATATATATATATATATATAGATATATAGATATATATATATATATAGCGATCAAATCGCTTTTTTACTTTTCGAACCATTTTTGCTGCTGTTGCTGTTTTCCTTGACGTTGGGCTATGCTATTCACATTTAATTGCTGGAGTGCTCTAACAATAGCCACTTGTGATAACTTGTAACAACAAAATATTTTCAAAATCAATTATTGGAAGTTATTGCTGGGCGCGCATTAGATATATTAACCAGTTAAGCCATGGAATTGGAAGATTGACCACTTTTGTTGAAAGAGAATTCAGACATTTCATTCATTTTCGAGCTATATAACTCATTTTGAAAATGAGAAAAATATGAAATAAATATTATCTTACCAGTGTTTCAATATTCTGGTACGTTTTATGTGTGCACTCCTCCCCGGATTGTTTTTGTCTTTGCAGGTCAATATTACTTTCTTGATCTCTTAATTGTCTGAGTTTGTTAGAATTGTTATCTGCGTTATTACCAAATAGACCTCTAATTTCAGCCATTTTAATAAGATATTTTGCATTGAGCCTAGTTATTTGTCTCCGCTGCACCAAAGACAAGAAACATCCGTTGTCACAATGTTGTATACATTTGTCTTGATTTTTGCAAACATCTGGTATATCTACCGATATGAACTCGTCCATGTCTGGAAGGACGTCTATCGTACCCGTTTCAATACTCTCAGTTGGTGGGTCAATTGCAACGCCAGTCGTGCTTTGTTGGTGTTTTACATCAGGCGGTACGTTACGTTTTCTGGGAGAGCTACCCATTGCAGCAGATGGAATGTTTGCTGTCTCCGCCTCTTCTAACGCTTCCAATCGCTTTTTCTCCAGTAACAAGTTACAGTGTTTTTGTAAGGCTGCCTTATTAACCAAATTTGTTGCACATTTTATCATATCCTGATTTTCACTGATGAGAATAGAATGCGTCTGGTATAATATAAATTGCACCTGAGGTCGAGACATAGCCATTGATAATGTTCGCAATTGTTCTTCCAATATTAATGAAACTCTGTATCTTCCATCGTTACTTATTGCAGTCTCCGTCAACATTTCAAGCATACCCAAATCCCCACCACGCGAACAAATCAAGTCGATGGGATCAGAAATGGCACTGAATGAATTTGGCGGGTTTGCTAAGATTCCGACTACTGTACGAAACCGGTTAGACTCTATGGGAAAGGAGGTGAACGATTCGGCGAACAACCTTACGTTATTTACTCCTAGGCCTTCAATATAATTCCGATATTGTTTCAAACTTGAACCTGCTCCATAGACATAAAAACAGTTGATTCGGTTCACTGAATAATATAATGATGCCAAGTATGCTGTGGAGCGCGGAGAATCTATATGGGTCTGTAAAATATCTCCAGATAGATCATAGAAATCCAGTAACCGGGACATGACGGCGGGTCCTACCGAGAATGCGCGATCCTGTAGCGACAGATAAACAAGAAAACAGAAATCAAAAGTAAAATTACAAGTTCCAAATTCCAAATATATATATATATATATATATATATATATATATATATATATATATATATATATATATATATATATATATATATATATGTTCCTTCTTTTCTCGTGGTTGACGTCCTTTGTTACTTTAATCATTAAAGTATTGCAACAATTGGGTTTTTTTTTTAATTTTTGAATTTGTTTTATTACGAAAATGTGAGTCAAATCGGCCCAGCAGTTCTGAACTGACGTGTTACTATACTTTTTTAAATGGTATACATATAGATTTAAAGAAGTCGGTGTGACCAGTTCCTCTGACACCAAACAGATACCTAGGGTTGGAGGGGGAGTCAAGAGTACGTTATATACTTACTATGGAACATATATATATTTATTATTTTGGCAAATATAAGGATTTTAGTTCAATCGAAAAAATTGGCGTGACCACTTTTTTGCATAAAAAACTAAATCGGGGTAGGACGAACATTTAAAAAAAAATCTAAATCGGTCCAACCATTCTAAAATGATTCAATTACCAACGAACAACAATTGATTCATATATATAGGTTAAAAAGTAGGCGTGGCGAATATAAGGATTTTAGATAAATCTAAATAGTGGGCGTAAAAGTAGGCGTGGTCAATAGTTTTTTCTTTAAAAACGTAACTCGGGGTATGACGAACATGTCCGGTCGTTCTAAACTTAGAATTTAAGGAAACAATCATAAAAGATCATATTAACCTTTCACATCTAGGTATTGACAAATCAATACTAATTTTTAAAGAAAACTTTTACTACCAATATTACCGAAAACTAATACAAAACATTATAAATGAATGCGAAGTCTGCTATATAGCAAAGACTGAGCAAAGAGATACTAGATGCAATTATTAAATCGCTTCTGAAATATATAACCCGAGAGAGATACTGTTTGGACTATTATATGATAAACAATCGACAATTTCTAATATGTATAGACATTTATTCTAACTAACTTTGTAGAAGCTAACAGTCGGGATTGACTAGAAACTAAAAGAGCGACGTGCAGAGTCTTTAATAATATGGGAAAACCCATCGTGATAAATGCAGATAAAGATTCCGCTTATATGTGCGCCGCCTTACATTACGTACACCTTACGTAGAAGTCACAACTATCACAAATGATATTTCTGGCACAAAACCATAATTAAAAGACTCAGGATTATAGCAAGTGATAAAATGAAGAAAATAAATTGACCAAATTTGAAATAATACTTTATATTTACAACTACAAAACTAAGCACAATACAACAGCAGACATTTTTTTTTGTATGCAGGAACGCCCGAATACAACACACAAGAAAACAAGATTAATAAAATTATAAAAGTGGAAATCAAGTGCATTCGAAGTAGATACTAATTATACTAAAGCGCCATTAGTAAAGTCTATAAGATAAGTTGTTAGCAAGCATTTTGAAGAAACTAATAAAGGTAGAAAAGGTGTTTACTACAAAGTAAAGTTTAAAAAGAAAACGGAAAAATAATAAAAGCAAATACAATAATTCCACCTCTGACCAGTAACCATATGAGGAAACTCATAATAAATCCTTTAATAATTATTACTTGGCAAAAAGCCCAGTTATAGCCAAAAATGGACACCTCATTTTGAAAACAGCTGAGTTGGAAATACCTATTGATTACGAATTTCATTGTCTTCCTATAAATATAAGTTACACGGAACAAACATGTAACAATTTATTAGAAGAAATAAAAGAGTTTGAGTTTTTACCACAAATAAAAGTGTTATAATAAGAACGGACTAATAAATTTCATAGGTAAAATTTATAATTATTTGTTTGGCACTTCAGACGAAGAAGACAATATAGAACTACAAAACAAAATTGATGGTATAAAAAACAAGTAAAAAAGCTGTAAGTTCGGGCGGGCCGAACTTTTAATACCCTCCACCATTTACAAATTTGGCAATTTCCAAAAAATAAAACCCGTTAAAAATTCTGTTAAAATCTTAAAAATTCCGAATGCTTATACGACGACGTGGGCCTGCATAGGCAACTTTTGTCATAAATTATTACAATATTTAAATGCGAAACTTGAAGAAAAATCTGTTTATAATGTAGCTAAAATCATCAAAATACCGAATATGGGGGTACCGTTATATGGGGGCTATATGATAACTTGGACCTACATGGCCCATTTAAGAACTTAACCTGCCTACTGGGAAAATATACATGTGTGCAAAATTTTAGCCTTCTATCTCAATTTGTTCGAAAGATAGCGTAATTACAACAGACAGACAGACAGGCAGACGGACAGACAGACGGACATGGCTAAATCGTCTTAGAATTTTACGCTGATCAAGAATATATATACTTTGTTGGGTCTGACATGAGTATTTCGAGGAGTTACAAACGGAATGACAAAATTAATATACCCTCCATAGTATGGTGGAGGGTATAAAAATACAATACAAAATAATGACATAAATTATATAATTGGTAATATCTCCAAAGATATGTAAGATAAACATCTTAATTCCTAACTTACAACATTTCATGGAATATAAAGAAAGTATTAAATTGGGAATGCAAATGACTAGATTGTAAATATTCAATCCAAAATTACTAAAAGATGATACAATAGAGCATATTACATCAGAAAAATTATTAAATACTAAATCATCAACACGGCTAAGAATAGACAATATTTTCTCAAATACCCAAAAGGAGTAGAGAAGCACACTTTTTCAAATAATACTATACCTAGATTGTAACAATAATATGTGTAAAGAAGCCACCAGTTATAAATACTTTCTTTAAGATAACATACTTTATTCCTTACATAATTAAGAATTGATAATAGACCAATGAACGCAGAATCCAAGTCTATGAAAACAAATATAAAAAATTGTAGGACCAAATATAACTCTCATCTCTATTAATATTCATAGGCAGCGTTAATTTAATCTTGGCTCGGTACTCAACAAACGATATAAGACAACACAACATACTTTTGGGGCATATTCATCGTTGCCTCAGCAGAAATGTAATCTCAAAAATCGGTAATAACAATAACATCAATACCTGATTCGAACTAAGGATGTCTATAACTTCAAAAAACAACCGGCAAACCACCTACTACTAGAGAAATTTCAAAGCACACCGTACAAAGGAAATGTACGATTTTTTCTAAAAAATACCGTTAAAAATTTACATTAGGATTGTGAATTGTAAAGCACCAGATCACCGAACACGTTACTAAACGCCCTCAATCAGCTAATATTCAGTCACAGCATTTGTTTGACAAATACCGTTTTAACCAAAACCGAGGTCAGCAGTTCAAAACATACTCAACTTCTCCCAATCAATAAACTAAAAGACCCAGAAATCCAGAAATGTCTTTAATAATTATTATGAACCGGTTTATGGCAAATCTTAAATAACAGAAATAAAATCCTGAAGATCTTTCTGAATAACCCCACATTCACAATCAGTTCCATGGCGAAGTAAAAGTATTATTGAAAAAAATAAAAATTTTCGGCCTCAGGCATGGGAAATCAACAATTTTCAGTAATAACATACAAGGGAAATGATTCGAAATGTCTTATAGATGCCAGATACATGGTCAATATGAGAACTAGAAACATATTAAATTAACCAACCTAGAACAGCTCACTCATACAAGTAAAGGCCCACTAAGGATCAATTGCAGTGTCTCTCTACCACCAATAATTTGTTTCCGACGCAACATGAATTTCTAATACATCCATTTTCAACTAATTATAAAATTTTGATTGGAAGGAAAATGTTAGATAAAACGAAATCCTTAATGGATTTCAATAGACTAATCGTATCTCTTTACATCGAAAGATATAAACTGACAAACCACGTTTCCAAACATGACAATTTTCAAGTAGAAACTTACACAACGGAATATGTACATGAATACGGAACGGAATATATTACCACATTATCAAATTATGCAGTATCACGATGACGATATACATACTTTCACAAATATTATTAAACGCCCCCTAAATAAAGTGAATAGGTCCCCAATCAATACAAAACTATACAACATCCTCTAAGCTTATGATAGCTTCGAAAAAACAAGATGCTTCAGGAAAACGGAAATTTAGAATTGTTGTTGATTATAGGAAACTAAATGAGATAACCACTAGCGACAGACATTCTAAACATAGATAAGATCTTAGGCAAACAATTTCACCACAATATATATAGCTAAAGGCTTTCATAAGATCGAAGGGAATCCAGATTCAAAAACTCTTACAAGTTAATATATATATATATATATATATATATATATATATATATATATATATATATATATATATATATATATATATATATATATATATATTAACTTGTAAGAGTTTTTGAATCTGGATTCCCTTCGATCTTATGAAAGCCTTAAGCCACCAAACAGATACCTAGGGTTGGTGGGGGAGTCAAGAGTACGTCATATACTTACTATGGAACATATATATATTTATTATTTTCGCAAATATAAGGATTTCAGTTCAATCGAAAAAATTGGTGTGACCACTTTTTTGCATAAAAAACTAAATCGGGGTAGGACGAACATTTAAAAAAAAAAATCTAAATCGGCCCAACCATTCTAAAATGATTCAATTACCAACGAACAACAATTGATTCATATATATAGGTTAAAAAGTAAGCGTGGCGAATATAAGGATTTTAGATAAATCGAAATAATGGGCGTAAAAGTAGGCGTGGTCAATAGTTTTTTCTTTAAAAACGTAACTCGGGGTATGACGAACCTGTCCGGCCGTTCTAAACTTATTCCACTACCAACGAACAACAATATATATATATATATATATATATATATATATATATATATATATATATATATATATATATATATATATATATATATATATATATATATATATATATACTTGACGATTTTATACATGAAAGTTGTATAGTGC